TTATATAGAAGATAATAGATAATAGAGGTAATATCGTTAGTAAAGTTAGGAGTAATGTAATAAGTAATGATGGAATTTATTTAATTCTATATTTTTACAACTATGAATACCTTTAATTTGAATATTTGAAGATTATTGATGCTGAAATTAATATAGGAAAGCTACCAATAATTACGTTTGATATCCTTTACGAACAAAAAACAGTTTAGTTAATACGATAATCACTAAAAAGATCTCAATAAATCATAAAAAATATCCTATAAACAGATAAAAAATACCCAACAACATCAGAAATGGATTCATATTCCTATGAACAACAACCTTTATTATAGGTAACAATACACATTCGCTTTTATTTTCATTTCTAGTACTAGATGTTTTCTAACCCTTTTCTTTTGTTCCCTTGGGTTTTATAGTATACCTAACCGCTTCGATTCGAAATAAAATCTAAGAGTCTATAAAATCGGAACAAATCGACGTTCGTCCCGTCCAGGCTATAAGATAAGCCACCGTGACAAACGCAAGTTGATTGGACTCTTTTGTGGCAAACGTTTTTTGCGGTTGTAAAATCAAATAGGGTAAAAGGAGTTGTTGTTGGCCATTTGTATTGTTGTCTGCTATTTGTTTTTAGTGTTATAGGAATAGAAAATGCAGCCTTATTATAGAGTATCTACATGTTATATTCAAGTGTGTATATATCTTCTTGTCGAATTAAATATCAATCTTTAAGCTTAACTGAAATTACAGAAATGTCTTTGTTTTGTATGGTTTTATTTTATTCTGTCTGTAAGTCTGAGTATAATATTAATATTGACATAAATGTAAGGTGACTATGAACTGTAGTGTTTATAGACTTCTCTGTTTGACATTATTGATTATTTATATTGTTATCATTTAGTCCATTTTTATTGTTTTTCTTACTAATGAAATTTAATCTGACATTTTCTTAATTGCATGCCGACAGGCGAAACATAGCGCACTATTATTATGTGCTTCATCCTGTATCATGTACTTATTACCTATGTTTGCAATAAAAAACTTTGATTCTGACTTTGACTCTGTTTTAAACTTAATAAACTTTAATTATTATCTTCTTCTACTTTGTTCAGTAGCAGTTCAGGTTTATTATTTATCACATTTTTTGTAACTGATGAAGATTTCACAATAATTACGATTTAGAACATTAACGTATTTTATAAGTAGACCGTTTTGGTTGTTTCGTTAAACAATAAACGTCGAAATAATAAGTATAAGTGTAAAAATAAGTTACTAACTAAGACAACCTATTACTTTGTTTTAATTCTATATTTTGTCATAAGTACATTGCAGTCACTTACCAAGAATACATTTTCTTGTTAGTATCTTCCTTACTTGTTACTTTGTTCGTTCGCATCCTATTTGCAGCCACAATTGGATTTGTGGCCGGTAATTGGAGACTTTCTCGTTTATTACATTGGATCCTAATATCGTTATTGATGCGCTGTACTGGGATCGCTACGCAAAGATAAGATAAACCTTTAGGAATTGTTTATTTTTTCTTTTTATGAAATAAATTGATAATATGTTTTTAAATAAAGCGTTTTTTAGAAGCATCATCTTTGTCTATATGTTTTATCTAATACACTTTTTATTGCATCTTTGTTTTTTATTTTAAAATCTTATCATAAAAACAATAACATGTTTGTTTATTTTTTACTTTTGTGTTGTTTATCAAAATGTGACAAATACAATATTTGGTAAAACAACAGTTCTTGAAATGACATGTGACTGGAAATAAATAAATACTACTGAACTGCTATCTTTATCAAAATATTTTTATAGTCCATATTGTAAGAAATGTTTTTAAAAATATTTTGAATTGTACAAAATGCTAGACTGAGATGACTGGACTTGGACTGATGTCTTTACTTAATCACGTCACAAGTTCACAACGGCTGCACGAATCTGAATGAGATTATGACCCAGAGAACTTAAATTCATATGTAAGGTCATGACCATACAAGACATATCTATTTAGTATTCCAGCAAACGTCGATTGGCTTAGTCACTGAAAAAAAAAATTAGGAAACAAACCATTTATAAAAAAAACACCTAAATCACACTGCAGTCCATTATAGTTGCCTTTACCTTACCTTTTCTTAAAATTGGGATGATGACAGGGTATGAAAATTAAAAATATAATTAGTCGGTAAGTTAGATAATGAAAAATATTAGACACGTATTTTTTATTTTGTCGTATAATAAAACAATACTTAGATAAAACGAATCAAAGTTTATGAATGGGGGTTTAAACGTCATTTCTACGTATATCGTGTACATAGAAGTGACGTCACGCGATATTTCAAAACAATATATCGTCGAAAGTATTAGGTTCTGTAAAATTTAAAATAATCTACCAGACGGACATTAAAATAAAAATTAGGCATCTACCCAAATTTTATACCTACGCACATTTTTGAAGGTCATATTAATTAAAATGAGATTTATTTGTATTCAAGTTGTACGTTTGTCCATATTGTGTCTCTTATTTGTAGGTGTATTTGATTCATTGACTCACAATTCTGATTCAAATAGACTGTTTAAAATAAGGTTAATGTCGATGCATGTTAACCTACATAGCCGCTTGAATAGGCTTATGATGCAGTTCATGATAGGCGATGTGATATGGAAAAAATATAGAGGAACCATAGTTTTTTAGTAGGTAGATGCAGTTTTAGTATTGATTTTTTTTTGTCATAGTGATGTTAAATGATGTAGTATAATTTTTGTTCTAAAAATTTTTGCCTACTTATTTTGATTATTGTACCAAACGATATTCTCGTTTGTAATTCGCGGTACCTACAATTCCATCTATCATTTGTAGTGTATTTAATAAATAGCTTTGATTTCTCGAACTATTTTATTGCACGATATGAACTAAACAAATACAATAAATTATGTAAATTTAAGGTACATGATACAAAGGTACACAGTGCCCTATTTATTTTAAACAATACAGATAACAAAAAATTGAATATTCATGAGAAAATAATGACCTTCAAATACTTAGGTATCGTACTGAACCCACATTTTTTGTACAAGTTCAGTGGAAGGTACTTGACTAAATACTTGTTCAACCGGTTTGTTAAACAATAAGGAAATGACATCACTGTCGAAATTCGTTAGAATTTGTGAAGTACGTGTGTAGTAAAACATTATTATAATTTTATTGCAAAGTCAAATCAGTAATTATTAAGTAGGTATCTAGTTAAGAAAAAATTAAATTCATAAAATAATAATAAAAAGATAACGGTGAATTCTGATTATCCAAGTGAAAATAAATTTTTGAATAGCTTATAGTTCAGAATTCTGCGTAAGTTTTAAAGTAATTATAGTAACTATGCATCTTAAAAAGAAATATGCAACATTACTTTTTGCCCTAATCAATCATCATCATCATTAACAGCCTATAAATGCCCACTGCTGAGCAAGGCCTCTTCTCACACGGAGAAGGTTTGAGCATTAATCACCACGCTTGCTCAATGCGGGTTGGCGATTAAAACTTATAATTAGATATTATAAGCCCAGGTTAACTCACAATGTTTTCCTTCACCGTTTGTCAGTGGTGTCTGAATAATCTTAGAAAGTACATATAATTCGGAAAAAGTCACATTGGTACTTGCCGTTGGTAGGTTTCGAGCCCGCCCCTCATGCATGAGAAGCGGGCGTCTTAAACCTCCAGGCCACCACGACATTTTTTGCCCTAATCAATACGACCTGTGATTTCAAGCTCGACATGTTACAACTTACAATCAATGAGCGCAGTTCAAAGAAAATATTCATCCTGTGATACATCCATTTCATAAAATACTTGAAATAAGAATTAAATCCATGAAACAGAAAGCATACATAGGTACTAGAAGAAAAGTGTTGTTAAACAAGACAAAGAGTTCAGTTCAAGTGAAGGAAAGTAGGTATGAATATGAAAACATCGAACTATTTTCTTACAAAGTAGAGCAATACATAACTCAATATGATAATTATGTAAGGTTAAGTTTACATATAGGTATTTATCTCCTCCGAAAAACCAAAAATATGTATGTTAAAATCATTTAAACGAGATTTTAAATTTAAATTAAAAAAAAATCTGAAGTCCAATCGCTACATGTTGCTAAGCGCAGAACTCGAAAACGGCTGAACTAATCCGGATATTTATCTTTCTTGAAAATATCGTTAACTATTTTTTAACAGAGAATTAAAATCAAATGGGCGTTTGCTAATGCAACAAATCAAAATCATTGAAGTATTTTTACGGAACATTATTAGTATCGAATTACTTACCTACATTAAAGAAGTATTCTAAAACACGTTATTGTAATCCAAATAAAATGAAGAAAAACTTTATTGCCTAGCATTTGCGTGGTGACACAGCTTTATTAGGAAACCAGACGAGTTTGGTTACCGCTTTATCTCGTGTACATGTCAAGTCCACGACATAAATATTTATTATCTGTTACGATTACTACAAATATATTGTACGTTAAAATAAACACGATTTCGGGAAGGCGATAACTTATATTTTTATACCCTTTAAAGTTATAGCCATCTTGTGGAATGTTCCACATTTAATGTGGAAAGTAGTTCTATTTTGCTCAAGAATATTGTAAGGTTAGCATTTATGACAGAACATTACAAGACATTTGCTGCATTCATGAACACATAATAATTGTACGGGAAAACTTAACATTAATGCATATGAGAGCGAATATCAAATAGGTATTATGCGCTTACGCACACCATACACAACACTAATGATGTAATTACAAACGTATCAATGATAAAATATTGTAACGGATTCGCGATTCAAACAGCGTGGGTCGGATGGGTATCGCTTCGTTCAACAAATCGCTGACCCAACAGGTATCGCCAGTGTATAAAATTGTTTATTCCATTCAAGGCCAACCACCTCGTGTTGGTTGCGAGACCTGCGAGTCTAAACAGTTGACAATATTCGCTATGCGCCGGCGCCGACCGCGCGGCCCGTAGGCTTTAATCTTGCGCACAATTGATAAATACTCGCACAATATATTTATATGATATACATCGCTAATTTGTCTCACTGTACTCCAGTTTGCTGTGCAGATCGCGTGTGTTTGTTTTTTTTTTGTAAACATTACGAGATTGTAAAGTGTTCTTTTTATATTTGCATGTGTTGTTAGTGTGTTTTATTCTGGATTTTTTGATCGATATTTGAATTTGTAAGTTGAATTCATTAACCTTGTTTTATGTTAGGTACATCGTGGTCGTTTTTTTATTATATTATTTGATTAATGAATTAAAGTAGAGTTTTTATTCGCGTTACTAGTCTTGAAGTGGACTATTCTATCAACTTTTAATACTTATTTAGAAGAATATAATACAGTAAAGATACTTATATAGAGTTGAAGCGCGTGTGCTTTTGACATTATTCGTAAGACTATGAGTACATTGAATGTACGAACAAGTAAAATGAACGGAAATTAATTTCATCAAGTTCCTAAAACAGTAAATTGTATGCCGTGTCCTTGTGTCTGTGACAGAACTCTATATAATCAAAATTGTACGTTATTATTTGGTACTATAAACTTATAACAAATTCATTAATGAAAACCTAGTCTAGAATTATTGATCGTTGCGAAGTGCATTTTTCACGTCTGTGAATAAATAAGCATTTTACGTAATGAATAAAAAAATCTGTTATACATAATAAAATAAAATATAAATATTAGGTACTGTAATTTCCTCAAAAACCTACATTTTTGAACAAATAAAATATATATAACCCCAATAAAAATCAGGTCACTTAACGACTACCTATCAAGTGTATTATAATCTGTTGTAAAAAACAACAATAGCGTCTTATATAGTTACGTTAAACGTTGTAATTATCGTCTTACATTGATATCGGACGTGACCTCGAATGTTGAACCACGTAGTCAAAGGTCTGGGTTACACGGATTTTCAATCACTGATTCATTATACTATACGATTTATCATGTTTGAGTATTGTAATACTTTAAAGTAAGTATTTTTTGCTAACTAGAATCACGTTACTAAAGAAAAAATCAATAATTTTGTTTAGATTTTACATGTTGACATATACTCGTGATTCGTGTGCTTGTGTTATTTAATGCACGTACCTATTCACTTTCTGCATTCCTTAAATTCTGTTTGCGTGCAGATGCATCTGGTAATCGGACACGACCAATGAGGTCAGATGCAGGACTAGCGGTATTACCATCTTATTCAAGGATAAGGATCTAACTAAAGTTGTATTTATAGACTTAATTGCTGAAATAGAAAAATGTTGATTCATTCATTGAGACATTGACACGTCTTTAGTTGTGTATACGAAGTACCTATCTAAGTAAACTCCAAACATAAAACAATGCACTTCTCTTCTTAGTTTTGTTTTTTTTTTCTAATGATTACACCATTTTCTGAAAAAACCGATACACGATCGTATCGCCCCAAATATAAACAACCGAACATCTTAAATAAAACATCCTTTTTTTCAGGAAATCAAGCCCATTTTGGTAGCTCAGCCAAACCAAGATGGACGACACAGAAGCCCAGGTACAAGCACATAAGCTTCTTGGGCAGAAGACCCGGGTTCCTCGACCGCCTGACAATGGACTTACCAGAGCTTTGCGATCATGTGAGTAGAACCTTTGTATTGATCTTTCTTTACTTTTTTAAGGTGGAAAAATCATCAAATGACTCGATACTTGAGAGAATACCAGACTCTTACTGACTAAAAACCACCTAACTGCCTAAAAACCACCCTGTTCTTAATCTGGCATCTTCGATCTGGAGCTCTGGCAATCGAGTAGGTAAATTATATACTGTCTCATTTTATTAAGATTTTTTCGTTTTATATTTCAATCGCTCATCCGATCTAATATTAGATACTCCGTTATCAACGCTGACAGAGTCATCATATGGATTCACTCATGTTATCAGGACTAGATAGAGTATTTTTTTGCTAAACTTATCTTCACTTTGCTTCATTTTAATACCTTGTTATTTTGATCAGTATACTGGTAGCATAACTACATAAGTAACTAATTAATTTTCTAATAAATAGGTTGTTTTATGCTTTAATAGAGGTATAGGTACTTTTTTAACTTTTTATAAAAACAATTTATGTACTTACTAGCCTGGGTTTATTGCGTAAAGGCATTCTTGTTAGAAAATTTTAGATGATGCAGTGCAAAAAAGTAAAATAAATTGTTAAGTGTATTAAATAAACTTATGTAACTAAATATATTACGACAGGACAATAGATGTAGGTAGGTACTAAATGTCTCATGTGGTTTAGTACCTTTACCAAAATGGGTAATTCGTACACATTCATGTCAACAACATGAATTAATCATTTTTGAAAAGGAAAAATGTTTATTTTCATTAATAATAATTTAATATAACAAAAACATTTTGAGTTAAGGCTATATTAACTGTGTAATACATGAAATATATTATTATTACTCATGTTTAGTTATATTAGGTATATTACTAAACATGAGAACTACTAGAAATGAAAGTGCTGACGCTCGATTCGAAGCTGCGGATGGTTACCGGGGATTCGCTTGAAGCAGGGATAGGAACTGAATGGTTTTAAGACTCAGATTCTTACTGACCGAAAACCATCCCGAGAGTATGAGATACTCTATATCCCCTCATGATAATAAGATCAGTTCAATTGTATCAATGAAATAGGGTAGTTTCATAAATTTTATTTTAATGTCCGTCTGGTACATTAATTTAAAACTTTAGAAACCAAAAAAATGGTTTCAGTCGTATCTAAGTAACAGACAACAGATAACAAGGGTAGCTAAACTTAGTAAAGTAACAAATACTATTGAAGATTTTGATTCTGTTCCGCTTACTAATGGCTGTGGCGTGCCTCAAGGTAGTATCCTGGGGCCGCTACTATTTCTTGTGTACATTAATGACCTACCACAGTCAATAAGTCATCAGTGTGTTCTCTTTGCTGACGATACTACTATTATCATAAAGAGTAATGAACCCCAAAATTTGAGTATTCAGGTCAACAAAGCATTAGGTGAAATTATGAAATGGCTAGATACTAATAAGTTAAAAATAAACATCCCTAAAACTAATGTAATCTATTTTAAAACATGGAAAAGTAAGCCCGTACAAATTGATGTATCATATAATAATAATGTTATAGAACAAATACATTGCTCTAAATTCCTGGGTATAACAGTAGATGAAAATATTACTTGGAAAACTCATATTGCAAATGTATGTGTAAAAATCAATAAATTTGTCTTTGCTTTGAGAAAAATTACATGTATAACATCCATGCAAACTGCCTTAATGGTATACCATGCATACGTTTGCTCAGTTATCCGCTACGGTATCATTGTATGGGGAAACTCTTCGGATATATCACGAGTGTTCATTGTCCAGAAGAAGTGTGTTCGTGCAATGTTTAATGTTGACTGGTGTGATTCATGTAGACCCGCATTCCAATCAAATAGCCTCTTAACGGTTCCCTGTATTTATATTTACGAGATTTCTAAATTTGTGAAAAATAATCCTCAATTTTTTGTGTCTAACAATAATGTAAATAAAAGAAAAGCTACTCATCTAGAATTTCAGTTACCTGTTCCTAGATTAGAGTTATTTAGACGAAGCTGTATTTACATGGGTCCCTTAATATATAACTCTTTACCAAAAACTATCTCCGGACTACCTTCAAATAAATTTAGTGTAATGCTAAGAAAATGGTTATGTCAGCAATGTTTTTACTCAGTTGACGAATTTCTAGCAAAAAACCCATGTAAATTCTACAATTGTGAGCGATCTGTGAGGTATAGACTGTAAACTTATAATTTAGATAAATTGTTAAATGTTCTATTTCTGTGATAAGTATTTGAACTGTATAAAGATTTGCATGTCGCCAAGCGGCAAGATGTATATGGCACCTTGACTATGTTATTATTATCACCATTATGTACCTACATTTTATGCAAATAAAGATTCTATTCTATTCTATTCTATTCTATTCTACTTTTTCTTTTCTCATAAAATTAAATACTTTCGACGATATACTAATTTAAAATATCGTGTGACGTCACAGCGTGTCACATTTTGTAGCACGTTATGACGTAACGACCTCCTACTCTTAAACTTAGCGCCATTTTATCTAAGTATTGCAACGTAATACGAGAAAATAAAAAATACGTGTCTAATATGTTTTCATTATTCGGACTAATTAGATTTTTAATTTTGATACCCTGGAAACTACCGAATTCTATATAAGTGACTCGACTGTGTTCTAGTGTATAACAAGGCTCCATGTGAATATGCTACAAACAATCTTTATACATAATTTATTAACACATACAGTGGCAATCGATTAAACAAAAGCACAGAGCTAATGTATCTTTAGAAGCCTCACAGTGAGAGCCTATTAAATAATAAGTAGATCGAAATAATGCAATTAAACCAGCCAAGCCGGCTGGCTGTATTCCGCAAATGAATAGAAATATACTTGAAATGATTATGTATGAATTGTGCCTCTCTATTACATGTAATAGAGAGTTATGAGTACCATGGTACTCATAACATAAATAGTGAAAAGTGGGTGTTACATTGTAACAGTGGCAATTTTTGCCGTAATGTGCACCTCTGTTTACCCTTTTGGAGATAAAAGGCGTTGATATGCCAAGATATAATATATTTTTTTATTTTTTTATTTGTTATATTTATTTTATTTACATACAATGTGTCTAGTAGCTAAATGAATAAATGACTAAAATATTATCATGAAATCTTTAATTTTGTGAATACGTCGTTATAATATGTATTGTATAGTTCTATCCTACCAAAAACATTTTGTAAAAAACTGCTGCTAGTTCCTAGGTTCCTTATTGCGATTTCGTTATTATTATAGTTAATATTGTGTGACTTGGCCGTTGTAACTGTAAATAGTTCCAGTAAAGGATGGTACCTACGGCAGTGTTTGTTTCGTGCTCGACTTGACAGATTTGATTATGTGTATCTTATAATTTTTCCAAAGCTCGAGCTCTAGTTCTAGCTACTAATATTGTTCTAGCTACTAATGTTGACAATTTTCGTGTGTGAGACTATTTTCGAAATGTTGAAAGCGATAGTTTTCATTAGAAACAATACTATCATTATAAAGTTTCATACATCAAACGTTGGGCTATAAAGTTTTGTACCTACTAAAAATATACAAATTTTTCATAGAAGGTTAATACCCCCAAAACTCATAAACTGATCAAATCAGATTTATAATAACGACGAAATGGCGACCCGATATTATAATTACGTATTTAGCGGAACAGAAGTTCATTCACCTTTCACATGTAACCTGTGTGAATATAAAGTGCTTGAGTAACCAGTTTCAGTGAAATTCAATAACAGCGTCGTTGGAGTCAGCAATCATTTTAAATGGATTAATTATTTTGCAGCATCTGCAATCACAGGGAAGCTATTTAATACAATCAAGTGTTATTTAAATACAACAATGTTTTCTTTGTAATTAATTTATCAACGGTTAATTAACTTGTTCAATGGTCCTGATTTGAGATATTAATTGGTAGTATATTATGTAGAAAGCATCCCTTGTCAGTAAAAGAATTTACGTGACAACGAGGGTTATTGAATCGTTATAACTTTTAGTTTGATGATGATGAGGACAACTTATAGAAAAATCTAGCATCAAAGTAAAAAAAATACCTACAAAACGATTTACAATATACATATTCGATATAAATAAATTATGCTGTTAATATCTTACGATATGATTGAGTTGGGCGGTGCAAGTGTAGGTGTCATGTTCGTGAACGGGCGCTGACAACAAGAACTGGTCAGCTCCAGGCTGTATTAAATTTGTTGTTCATAAAGTTATTTTCTTTTTCTTTCTTCATGACTGAGTATTAGTGTTACATTGTTCTCACATAATTGAACCTATGGTATTGTAAACATGATTGATAAAGAGTAACCTTTGGAGTTTCTTGCTCGTTCTTCTCCATAGAAATCTATACTTTGGAACGAGCAAATAGCTTCACTAGAGAACTGACCGATAGACTGATATTTTATCAATATTTCAATATTAAGTTTTGACGTTCAAAAGTGCCTTCCTGGTCAAATTGAAATAAATGATTTTGACTTTAACATTGACTTAAAAGATCCTTATCTTAAAAGAATATAGGCCAAATACAAATCACAGTTGCAGTTTACGCGATTGCAATACAAATAGAGGCTTGACACAATACTTAGCAGCACCTCGTTGTTGTGTTGGAAGATGGCCAAGAGATCGTGGCCAATTCTTCCGGTTTACGTGCGAAACTTTAAGAGAGATTAATACCTCTACTTAAAGAACTGTTAAGTAAGCGTATTAAAGTTAAACTATATGTTAGAAAGTAAAGATTGATCCAGTATAAAGATAGTAAATAGGAAGCCATTGAACCTATCAGTGATATATGTAAACCTAAGAGGGTGAAAACAGATTTGGGCGTCGTCATTACAACGCCTAACTATAATGGGGATGATGACAGGGTATGAAAATTAAAAAAATAATTAGTCCGTAACTTAGGTAATAAAAAAATATTAGACACGTATTTTTTTATTTTGTTGTATAATAAAACAATACTTAGATAA